GGGACCCTCCTCGGGCCCCCCTGACCTTGGCGCGTCCCCGCGCAGGAGCCGCGGCCGCCCGTGCAGCCCCAGTCGCCCTTCGGCCCCTGCCACTACGAGATGAAGCAGTTCCTGGAGTGCGCCACCAACCAGAGCGACCTCACGCTGTGCGAGGGCTTCAACGAGGCCCTCAAGCAGTGCAAGTTCAGCCACGGTGAGTGCCCGAGTGCACGCGCAGCCCCCGAGGGGTCAGGACAGGCCTCTGGGGCAAGAAATAGGGAGCTGTCATCACCTCAGGCGTGTCCTGGAATGCTGAAGGGAATGGGAAGAGCAGGCAAAATGGCTTGATCTAAGAAGTCAGGCGAGAGAGAGCTGTTAGTGCCAGTACCAGAGGCTGGAGTTCAGTGGCAGCAGGGAGTAGAAGGAAGGACAGATGGACAGGTTATGATGTGGGGGGGTGCAGAGTGACCAAATACGAGTCTTCTAGTGGTAACTCACTTCTAGACTAGTAAGGAAGAATAGTTGGACCTATGAAATTCTGGAATTTGGATAGCCCAGTATCTGCTACAGTGAAATAAAGGAGACTGTTTGAACCTGTGACTTGTGCGTTTCCTTTATTTATCCTCAAGCTACAAAGAGCCACGGAAATATTAAGTGCAATGGGACAGACAACTGCATTTCTCCTGCAAGCAGAGAGTGCAGCCCGGCGAGGATTGTGCCTGTGGTGGGGGCTGAACAGAGGTCAGCTAAGGCGTCCTGCTGTATTTTCAGTAACTTGGATTCTTTTTCCAGCAGTATCCTCTTCCTGAAGAGCTGTTCTCTGAGCCAGGAGCTGAGAAAATGACCTGTCTGTGACTTGGGACACGCTTTGATCTTATGTAAAGCCTGTTAAGTTATGCAATATTCTCAAGGTCAACAGGGTCAGGCAGGTTCTTAGCTGATTACTCACTACAGTCGTCACAGCAGAACAGTCTCATCCTGAACTGGCCTGCAGACTCTTCTAGCAGGAGGCTTGGGCGTTCATAGCAAAGTATTAGTTGAAATGGAATTACTCAGGCCTGAGTTTGAGTTTTAGTAGCACAGCAGTGAATTTCGGCCATTTTAACAGCTGAATTTCCCTGGCACATACGCATCTTTAACAACTTTTAGCTGCTGAATATTGGACTTGTTCCCTGCCCCTTGCCTTAGTTTGAGGAAGTCCAGATTTAGAAGCTTAAAGTTGGCAGCAGATACTGGAGGCTGCTGATGAAATTCCTGCTCCTCGCCCCTTGCCTTAGTTTGAGGAAGTCCAGATTTAGAAGTTGGCAGCAGATACTGAAGGCTGCTGATGAAATTCCTGCTCCTTGTAAATGTCAGGATTTGAATTCCCTGTGGCTGGTAATGTCCTGAGTGGTGCCTAACCTTGTCTGGGTGTCCTGAGTGCCCTGCTGCAAGAGCCCTGTACCCTCTTGATAACCTTGAGGGGAAGAAAAAAAAGAGGTACTGGAGCACAGGGAGTAGATCTGGTAATGCACTACTTCCAACTTACTCCCTTCAAGAAATAATAGTTGAGCTGATGTTGTGTGAGCGGGTCCAGGTGCAAAATAGCTGTTAATTCTATGCAGAGTATGTGTAGCAGCTGACTGTGCCGTCTGCCCCATGTTGGTGAAGTTTAAGCAGAGCTCCTCTTGGGTGGGGGGAGATGCTGTATGTGGTGTGACCAGCTTTACCTGATGGACACAAGAGTCTGTAGCAGGGCACTGTCATCGTGGTGGTGTTGGCTGAACTGATGTCGCTTGATCCTTGTTTTTCCTTCAGGTTCGTGTCCTGCAGGACTCCAGGCCATGTCATTGAAACAAAAGGCCCCTTGGAACGCGAGGCAGACGGCGCTGCTGCGTGTGCCTGGCTGGGGTGCAGCTTGTATGTGCTTGTGTTGGGGACAGCTTTGGATGAGGAAGTGTGGGGGTGCAAGGAAGAGACTGGGAAGAGCAAATAGCAGAGGGTGCTGCGCAGCAGTCATGAAACCTGGAGCTGTGATGAACCGGTGCACTCAGCAGCCACAGGCCTTGCTCTGTCAGGCTGCTCCCTCACCTTGGGGTGCCCCTCAGCTCTGAGCTCCTCTTGCTCTGTGGGGTGGGCCTGGGCCTGGCTGGGGTGCAGTGGGACTGAGCCCTCCTCTGCATGGGGCCCCTCTTCCACGGGTCTCTCAGCTGGGGGTTTGCTGACAGCTTCTGCAGCAGATCTGTGGAGCAAGGCCAGAGAACCTCAGTTAGTTGCTGAAGGAAGTTTGCTCTTACTTGCTGCTTGGCATGTGGAGTGAGGCTGTGTCAACCTCCCGGCTACAGCCTAGGACATGGAGTTCTGAGTTTCCTGATCTTGTCTGTTCTTCCCTCCGTGTTTGTGCCAGGAAAACGTCTCCTCTTCTGACTCCTTTGTGCCATGGGGCTAGCGTTGTGCCCTGCTACAGTGCAGTGCATGGTGACCTGTGCCAGCGTGTGCTCCAGGGAGCTGTTCTGGAGAGCACCTCTGGCTGCCCCTTCTCTGCCTTCCGGAACTCACCCATTGCCCCCAGCAGTGACCATTCCTGTCCGGGGAAGCTTCTTTAAGCAGCCTGATGCTTAGACTGTCCCTTGTCCTCTGTACGAGGGCTGTGGCACAGAGGGGACTTGGGCCTGCACCTCCAGCCCCTCTGAGGCGGTGAAGCTGGTCGTGGCTCTTACCTGCGAGGTCAGGATAGTGTTTCCCCAGGTTCTCCAGCAAGGATTCATAGCAGGTGGCTTCAGTGCTTTCTTCTCCTACCAGCAGAATGGGAGAATTGGGTTAATTTCTCCTGTCAGGAAACTGAAGTAAAGACTTTTAATGGGGTGGGTGGCTCTGCTCACTAAAGGCTCCCCTTCCCCACAGGTGCCACCTCAGACTGCAGGATGCCACACTATAATGTGCAGGTCTAGTTTTTCTTGTGAGCTGATTCCTGCCTTTTTCAGAGCTCCTGCACCATGTCTGAGTGGCCGCTGAACAGAGCCCTCCCCAGGCTGCAGCTCTGTTTCTAGGTGGTGACAGGGTTTCCCTGGGGTAGGGGGCAGTTGCTTGAAATGCTGTGTGAAGTTTCATGCGCAAAGCAAACCCTTCCGGTTGCCGAGGAACTTACGGATGACTTTGATGAGGATATAGCGCTGTCTTTCCCGCAGGTATTGACTGGCAAATACAGATGCAGAATTTTCTACTTTGCTCAGGTTCATCAGAGCCCCTGATTCATCCAGAAGATCAATGTTATCTAAAAGGAGATAGGAGGGATGATGTTCCTATGCACCTCTGCATGGCCCTTGCCAACCCTGGGGCTTAGAGGACTTTTCCTTGGAGTTATGCTATGAAGAGTTATGCTGAGGTCTAGAGGTGAGGTTTGGGTCCCCTTTACTTTGGGGGTCTGCAGTTCCCCATAAGCCCTTTGTCACGCTCTGCTGTGCATCTCCTTAAGGAAGAACATCCTTCCCCGAGGTGAAGGCGGCTCAGGAGCACAGTTACCTTCTGGTCTGCACTGACACTTCCTCTTCAGGTGCGCCATGAGGATGAGGACCCGGCACTGCAGGTTCACCAGCTCTTGGCAGTTGGCTGTACAGAGGAAAAGAGGTGTCAGCTGGGAGAAGAGTGGGGCCACCCCAGGTCCTGGGGGCTACAACTGTTGCAGTTCAGCTCAGCACAGCTGGGAGCTGCGAACCCCCTCTGGCCAGGCCAGTGGGGTGGGATCTGCACCTGCTTCTCAGTCATCTCGAGATCTGTGCTGCAGGCCATGTGCCCTGGGGCTTGGTGCTGGCAATGTTCTACATCAGGGGCTGGGCATTTGGGTTGGGTGTTAATTTACTTTCCTTCATGAACTATCACTGTCCTTTAACACAGTTTCTTCAAATAGGAGAAGCAGGAAAATCCTTTAGCCCCAGCTCCTGGTGTTCCCCTGATATCAACATGTCCAGGTCACATGTGGAAGAAGCAGAGCTCTGGGCTAACTCACTGGGGGATATTTGGGCCGTGAACTCTCACCAAATTTGGCACAAGTGAGAAGTCCCCTGGGCCGATGAACATCAGCTCCAACTCAAACAGCAGAGGGATCAAGGGCTTTGGACTACGTGTGTCTGGCAGCTCCTGCAGCAAGTCCCTGGGGTCAGGCAGAGAATTTTGGCCAGCTGAGGGCAAGGCCCGGACAGCACCTTCCCAGCAGCATGGGTCTGCTCGCTCTCCCTGCAGGCTTTGCTCTCTGAACCAGGATTTGAGCAAGGGGAGCCCTTCCCATACCATGGGCACAGCATGGATGCGGGAGCTCCAAGTGCTGCCCATTCTGCCCTGTGTGCCCCTCGGCTGTGTCTAGACCACAAAACCTCACGTGCTTCTTGCCAAGCGGCTGTTCAGAGCTGAGGCTGGAGATGTGCAGCAGGGTGGGCAGTTCTGTACTGCTGCACAACCCCATGACCTGCCCGTGCCTGCCCCTGGCTTCCCTGTCTGCTGCCAGCGGCCCTGCTGGGGCCGGTTTTCTGGGCTGCTGTGCAAGGGTTAAGCATCTCCTAAAGGGATGAGGCAGGGGAAGCTGTACCCAAGCCCTGAGGCCCTGTTGGGTGCTGCCTCCCCTGCTGCTCTAGGGCCACCACAACCCAGTGCTGAGACACTGGGAGCGGTGCAGGAGGCTGGTCCACCGCAAGGGCTGAGTCAAAGCCAGAGCTTTACCCACCTACCTCCGTATCTCACCACAGCAAACATTGCCCTTCTCCGCACCCTTCCCCAGGGCCGCTCTCGTCCCCTCGGGCCGTTGCTGCGACACCGACTTGAGCCGAGGCGGCCGCCCCGGCAGCGCGTAGGGGAGGAGCCGCGTTTCCAACCAGCACCTCTCAGTTTGGGCTTCCATACCCAGATCTCCCAGCAACGCAGAGAGGCTCCGGCCAAGTCCTGAGGCTCCCGCGGACGGGAGAGGGAGGCGGTAGCAGAGGCTGCGCAAGCAAAACACGGCCTTGGGGAGGGCTGCAGAAGGGAGGTTGTCCCACACGGTCTGGATTCTGCTCTTTCCTGGGACTCGTGTTTGTTCTCCAGCCTCCCTGGGCTCTGGTGGTGCCCAGCTGCCCATCCTGCCCCCTGCTGAGTCCAGCGTGGCCAGATGGGCAGCGGGAGCAGCTGCAGTCTCCTGAGATGGGCAGATATAAATGGTAACCTCTCGGGGCGGCTTTGCCTGGTTTGGGGGGATAGCTATGGACTGGGACAAAACCTGCCTTATTGGGGTGAGTTTCCTGAGCACATCTAGTACTTGAGGCAGGCCGGAGTGATGCTGGGGGGAGAGTGTGAGCAACAAGCTGTGCTCACACCCGCTCTCGCATTTCCTACAGCCAGTCACTTTCCTGCCCACCCACAAAGCGGTTTGTGTAGCTTGTGCAGCCCACACTTAGTGCCCAAGCATAGGTGTCCAGCAGCAGTGTCCTTTCCTCCTGTGAGGCTGAGACGTGCAGATCTAGTCCCCGTTCCAGGCCGCTCAGCACGTGCAGAGCAGCCCAAGGAGAGGCCTGCAGGGCGCTGTGAGCGGTGCTGCGCGTCCATCGCCCGCGGCTCCATGGACACCTTCCCCGTCATCACGTGTCTCGCCACCCTCCTCCTCCTCCTCGCGCAGCGAAAGGGCTCTGCGCAGCGCGGGGGCAGCAGGGCCCGTGGGAGCTCCCACGCTCCCGGATGCGCAGGCAGCGCCGCGCCAAGGCCCGCCCTGCTCTCCCGCCTCCAGCAAGTGTGAAACCTCAGCCGGAAGCTGCTTCTCACCCGTCCCTCCAGCACCAGCCGGACTGCAGCCCTCACTGCTCTCCATGCCGTGGGGATCCTGAAACCAGCTTGTGCTTTGACAACCTCAGTTTCCTGTCTGAATGTGGGGGCTGTGGGTTCGCACCCCACAGGCGTGATTAAAAAAGTGCAATATAAGTTGTGTTTGCTTTACAGGGGAGAGTGTTTTCCTCTTTCCAGTCATATCCGGTTGTTCCACACGTCTCTGGACCCTGCATGTGTGCCGACAGGCAGATTCTTTGGATACTCCAGGCCAGGTTCCCAGGCTCCAGGGTGGGCTATAAGCCAGGATTTGATGTTTCTGGTCTCCAGAAGCTGACACAGAGCCCGGGGAATGGCATGAGTCTGGTGAGCTCAGCAGGTTGTGGGGAGCACGTTCCTGTGGTAAAAAGGCTTCTTATGAAAAGAAGAAAATTGGTCACTCAGCACCAGCCTTTATGTCCCTCCTCTGCTGCCGCCTGGGAGGTTCAGCGTTGTGTGCGGGGCAACCCGTGATGCACAACCTGCGTTATCTCCGAAGCTTTGCCAGCACCCAAAGGCCGAGTTTCTGGCAGCTGTTGCAGCGCTGGTGCTTGAGGCCGCCCCAGGCAGGTGGTTGCCAGGTGAAGGAGGCAACGTTTGTGCTTTGCTTTGCCCCAGGCTGCAGCAAATTCAGTTCTAGGAATGAGTGCCTGGAAAAAAGATGGAAAAGAGGGATGAGGAAGGAGGCAGATTTGTCTAGTGGGAACCTGGGCTGAACTCTCTTTCCTCCAGTCATGGTGCCAACAGAGATAGTGGATTTAAGGCACATGAAGCTCCTCTTCCCTCTCTGCACTCAACCAGAGCGTGTTGCAGAAGGAGAAAATTCCCTGTCTGGGAAATCACCCCCTGGCACCTGTCACCAAGATCCCTCTCTGCGCAGGCTCTCACAGATGGCCCCATGAAAACCCAGACACTTAAACCCAGAGCCATTCTTACCAACATATTTCTGTTTGCTCTAACCAGAGAGCTGGCTGCTGGGCCTGAAAGCTTTTCTTCTGCAGCCAGCAGGAGCGCTGGGCACACGAAGGCAGCGCTGGTGCCTGCCCGTGCCTGCAGCGAGCAGCACTGGCTGTGCGCGCACAGAGGATGTGGCCAAGAGCAGTTCCCATTTGAGCTAGTAGAAGAACAGAGTGTGATAACCTGGTGCTGCAGAGTTCAAGTCTCTAGAGGCGGGTTTGGGAGGTAGATGCCGGATTTCGAGGGGTGACCTCGGCCTGCCCCCTCGCGCAGCCACGTGGCTCCAGCCGTGCGAGCCCCACGGACACGGTGCGTCGGGGCCGAGCATGGGTCTCCTCCCCTCCTGCGCCGCACTTGTGCTCCTGCTGCCGCTGGCTTTTCCGCAAGGTAAGTCCGTGTGCCGCGGCCCTTCGGGAGGGTGTGAGCAGTGGGCACCCACCTCAGGGGGCCGGCACGGCTGTGGGAAGGGGGACACGGGCTCTGTGGTGCGAGCAGAGCTCAGCATCGCCTTGGTCCTGTCCCGGCCACGGGTGTCGCCTGCGCGATGGCCAAGCCAGCCCTGCGGCTGTAGGAGCTGGAGGAGTCGGGGCTGAGGGCCGATTGCCACCAGGTCTGGGTTCCTCCTTGATATCTGGGCTTTTTTTTTAATCTCCAGGGCTGAGCCCGCACTGTTTGCTCGCCCGACTTGTGCCCTGCCTCTTTGAAGGTTGCCAGAACAAAGCAAAAAACAGTTCCTGACATATTTTTGCAAAAGTAACTGGATGCGACCTGGTAATAGAAATATCAGCTAAGCAGTGCTAGATGTTGTCTGAGCAGTGTAAGGAGCTGAGTGCATATGTTTGTTTATCAAGATGGAGTGTGCTGATAGCCACGAGTAAAAGAAAGATAAGAAAGTCCCAAGAACATTTAGCACTTGCTGGTATGAAACTTACCCCGCCATGCTCCCATGGCAGCTTTTGTATAACGGAAACGTGTGGGGCTGCTTGTCATCCAGACAGCACACCCGGGATCGGGTACAAGGTGCTGCGTGCTGTGATTCTGGCTGGGGATGCAAAGACTGCCGTAATCAGGAAATCCCATAGCGGGTTAAGGAGAGGCAGGCACGTAGCTGAGCCCCAAGACTTCCTTAGGGGATCTCTGGGGCTAGAGGAGATTTAGGGCTTAGGCACTTGCTGGGGAATCCAGTGAAGGCTTCTGTGTGCCCTGGGAGCCCCCAGAAAATGAATTCAGTCAAATGGCTTGGTCTGCCTCTCACCAGGGTGACACTTACTCCATACGCAATGTTTGGAGTCAGCAGTGGTGTGGACTTACGCAATCATGGCCCTTCCTTGCCTGGGAGCGGAGCTTAGGTCTGAGAAAGCAGTTTGCCTCTGGTTCTCACTTTTTGTTTTGGGTTCAGCGGCTCTCAGATGTCATGAGAACAAAGTGCTTCTCGTGACCGAGGGGGAGCCCGTCTCGATTGTGTGTCCTTTCCACGAGCACTGCGGCAAAGATGCTTTCCATGAGATCATCTGGAGCTACCAGAAGGATTCGAGAAGGATCCTGCAGTTCAGGGAGGCACCTCCCAAGGACACCTCCGCCGTGTTACGCAAGAAAGGTCACTTCGGGGGTGAGCTGGATTTTGGAAGGTGTGTGAGTTTTCTCAACATCTCCGAAGTGCTTTTGAATGACACTGGCCGTTATCTCTGCTACGTGAAGGTAGGGCACAGCAATTCATCGACAGAGGTGACTCACCTACTCGTTGGAGGTGAGTTTGTCTCTCCCTCTGTTTTCGTGTTTCTCTCCCTTCAACAGTGCACCTCTGTGGGACACCTTAGTCCCCTCTTACAGAAGGAAAAGTTCCGGGTTTTGAACCCGGTTGTGCCTGACCTAAAAATCCTTCCCAGCACAGCCAGGCGCTGCTCTCCTGCACGTAGCTGCCTCGCTCTGCTTGCCTGGAAATGCTGCCAGAGCTGGAGGGGGCTGGAGATCCCTCATGTTGCCGTTCGCTGTCTCCGGCCGCTCGGTCTCCGGTCTCAGCTCGCGGCAACGTAACATGTTCGCCCGGAGGTCGGGCTCTCCGGGGCCATCCTACCCCGCTAAGGGACAAACCACGTAACACCAATATGGTTGAAGTGCGATTTATTGTTTGCTGCTCACTACAGTTATACTCCTTTCAAATGCGGAAGCTTGCTCTGCCACCAATTAGCAACAATATTACCTTGTATGGCTATGTGCTGATTCTTCAGAGTAAGACAGCTGACTCTCCTTAATCTCTGCTGACCCTTTCCTTTCCGTAACATCGCAAGATCTTCCGAGCACCAGGCCCTAAGCCTAAATTTGGCCAAGTCAGCTTATGTCAAGCACGAAGCCATATTGCTATATCTATATATCCGTCCACACCCTCACACAACTGTGTCCTGGGGAGAGATTTCCCACAAAGGGAATCTCTTTCCTTCTGATAAGCGCCTAGGTTCCCTGTTTTGTTTTTAAGCAGCAGAAAAGGGGGCAAAGTGCAGGTTGAAGCCCTCACTGCAGCACTCACAGCAGAGTCGCTTGCCAGGCTCTTCACAGCCCTGATGCCAGGGCCTGCTCTTCAGCACGTTGTCCTGGCGTTTTGCAGGGATCTTTGCCTGTGGCTGGCGGCCTGCCAGCGTCAAAGCAGGTGTCCGTCACGGCCACCTCCACGAAGTGCCCTTCTTTGCAGGACAACAACCCAGGGCAGCCCCAAAGGGCCTCCTCCGTGCTGCGCCTGAAGGCAGTGAAGTCATCCTGGACTGCGATTTCAGCACCAACGTGACCGACAACTTCACTGAGCTCTTCTGGCTGCACGAACCAGAGGAGGGCCCAGTGCGACTCATTGCGTGGCACCACGAGCCCAGCTGCCCGGGCGGGATCAGCACTGGGCGTCGCTTTCACAGCGCGATAGATCTGGAAAATCACCGGAGCCGTCTCACCATTTCTGGGCTGCAGAAGAGCGACAGTGGCTGGTACCAGTGCGAGAGGCTGGGGGAGCTTTCGGGCTGGCAGAGAGGAAGGGGAACCAAACTCACTGTGAAGGGTGAGCACGTTCAGAGGGAGCCTGGCTTTGTGTTTCAGTCCTTTTGCCCTGCTGAGACTTTATGTTTTGCCGTCTCTTTGTCTTAATTCATGGCCTAGACCTGCTCAGGCTTGGTATACCAGTGAATGTGTGACACTTCTCATCTAGGATATATCTTTAAAACATGAGGGGTGACTCACACTCGTTGTGCCGCCACTTTGCAGTGTTTGGGATGTGCTGGTACGTGGCAGCTGTAGTTGTGACCGCAGCTTGTTCCAGCAGAGGCTCGTGCTGGCTGTACGGAGCGAGCTGTGGTGGGGCTGCAATGATGGGGCTTTGCAGGACCAAACATGGTCAAGAAAAGTCACACAGATAAATTTAAAGCAGTTACAAAAACACAGAATGTCACCTGCGATAAGCCACAGGCTGCTGCAGATGATAATCTGTAAGAGCTGTTGCTTGCTGGTGATTTGGTCCCTTAAGAAACATACTTTCGTCTGTGTCCAATGATGATTCCTTATGCATTTAATTTCATATGCAAAGACATCTTTTATCCAACATGACCCATAACAAAACCCAGCAGACTTGCTCCGTGGAAATCCTGACTGCACTTGTTGTGTGACCATGCAAAGCCTCGTTAATTAATCCAGAGTGTGATTAATTGAAATTATGCAGTAATTTGGGCTTGGTCTGACTCATCTGGGGCTTGTATAATCTGATGGTAAAACGTGACACTGCTCTAAAGCATAGGACTTGCCATGTCCTGGTTGATTTGTTGCGAGATTCATATTTCAGAGGAAATTCTTAGCGCTTGGGCCTTTGCTGTCCTTCCCAGGCTCCCTGACTGTGCTGCTGGTGGCTTTGGGGAGCGCTGGGTTTGTTCTGGCCGCCTCCTGCCTGTACTTTCAGTGTAAGTAATACTGGATGTCCCCTCATCGCAGCCATGTCTCTGGGTGTCTTCTGCATGTCCGTGAGGACGTTTGTCCTTCGGCGACATGGCCAGGACACGGTGCCTGCCTCGTGCTGCCCCCTCCCCGCATGCTGTGCCCCTGCTCAGGTGTGGGCCCTGGGGACAGCAGTGGGGCCGCGTGTGGCCATGTCTAAAGTGAGCGGCGCTGCAGTCAGGCCGCTGCTGTCCCATGTCATCCCCTGAAGGAGTGGGGAGCACAGCAAGCAGGGGTTCCTCCACACCCTGGCAAGACGCTCCTCAGTAGACAGTGTGACACGAGGTTCAGCCACAGGGAACACCCTTGGGTCTCAAGGAGGCGTGGGGCAAGTTGTTGCAGAGGGGAAAAGCTGCCAGGAAAAAGGCAGCTTGTCTCCTTGTAGGAGCGCAGCGTCTCTACTCACAGGCCAGGGGCTCGTTCCAATGGGCCACACTCTGCTGCCACAGGTTGCTCCTACAGAGCAGTGCGTCCCCTCTGCTGCGTGTCCAACAACCAGCCTGCCTGTGCGCAGCGCCCGGACACCCCGCCAGAAATGCCAGGTCCCCCCTCGGAGTCCACTGAAACGCCAGGACCCCCACCAGAAACACCCTCCGAGGCCACTGAGGAGCACGCGGGCAGCAAGGCCACCTTCTCTGGCGCTGGTGCCCGGGGCAGCGGGAAGCAGGAGGCCGTGGCTGCCCTCTAGCCCTGTGAGCGGGGTGAGCGGTGGGAGCCCTCGCTCTGCTGTGGTGTAACCTGGTCACTCTCTGTTGGCAGCTCCTCACCTTGTCCGGGCGGAACCCCAACACCTGAAGCCAGGAACACACGGGACATCCCAGGAGGGACAGGGAGAAGTGCTGTGTCCTGTGCTTGAGGTGCTATGTTCTCCCTTTCAAGATCCCTAGCAAACCTCTGTCCCCTTCAGCTCTTATTTCAAGTGATTAGCAGCTGTATCAATTAAAACACCTGAGAAGGGACCGTGTGAGTATAAGCCATGATGGCTGCTCTGGTACAGCCACATCTTCCTCCTGTGAAGGAAAAGTCCTTCAGCCTCACCAGGTGGAGCAAGGCCTGTGTGGACAGCTTTCCCCTCCAGAACCAGGGGTGTGAGCAGAGGTGCTGTGACTCTGTCCCTAGTGCTTCCCCCTTGGGAAAGTGAAGAATTGCAAAGCAGAGAGCAAAGCGCTGGTTTTCACTGGCCTTGCCAGAGCTGAGGTCTCCTGGGTGGCTGCTGGTGCAGCACTTGGCTCCTGCTGGCCCAGACGATGTGGCCACACAGGCGAAGTGAAGGCCTCCCCAAACCAGCTTGTACTGTTGTGGCCACAGTTGCCTTGATCAGACCTCTCTGTGGTCACCCCTGAGATGGTTGCACTGGTTTTACGTAAGGTGTCGTTTTTGCTAAGTTTGTGTAGGTTTGTGGGAAGGACCCTCAATTTCCTTTCCCATCCAGAGCTTCTCTCTCTGGTGACCACTAGTCTCGTGCTGGACACAGCAGAGTCCTGCAATGACCGCTGGTGCGGGTTGCTGAGGGTGTCATGCCTCGTGTGGTGCTTTGGAAGGTGCCTGAGGGGCTGCTCATTGCACAGGTGGAAATGGGAAGCAGTGATTTACCGTGGGTGCAGGGACTGTGTGTGACACACAATTGCTCCACGTCTCCCTGGCAGACGTATGACAACCCTTGCCATGCTCACATTCTTCAGCAGCTCCCCAAACACAGCGGGACAAGGTGCTGTACAATAGCATCAGGTCTTACTAGCACCTCTCAGCCTCCTAGTTTGCATGCACGTGTCCTGCTCAGCAGCATTTGCATTACAGCTGCTCTGATTAGCTTCTGCTGCTGCCTTTTGGTCTCTGTGCTCCCAGGGGAGGCTATGACACAGTAAATTGGGCAAGGTTGCGTGGGGAGGCATGCTTTTGTTAGACCAACTGGTAAAGATGGAAAAAATCGATGAGCCATTGGGCACATGAGCCCTTGTTCAGAGCACTGCAGCATATTGCAGCAGAGCGACCCACTTGCTGCATCTCTGGCAAGGCCAGTGCTTCCTATCAGGAGCTTCGTGGCTGGGGATGCAGGGATGCACGGAGAGGATGCACAGTGCTCGACCTTAGACTGCTGCATCGTGCAGCATCTCTGGGCTGCTCTGGGGGACAGTGACGGCACGTTACCTGCAGGAGGGTCTTTATGGTCTGTGAAGCTGACAGCCTTTTACGTTAAGGATCTGCTGTCTCTGCACGGGCACCTGCTGCGCTGCGGCCACGTCTCCCTGCCCTTGCTCGCGCAGGCAGATCCGGCAGGGACTGCCAGGTGTTCGCCCGTAGGTCCTGCTTTTGAGGAGGCCACGGCAAAGAGGCAGCGCTCCCAGAGCCACTGGAGCTCCTGGGCTCAGCCAGGCGGCTGCTGCGGGGCAGCTAAGGCTCCTGGTCTCTTTTACTACATATTTTGTGGCTTCCTGTGGACTGAGGTGAAACCACTGCGTTGAAGACTACAGGAAAACCTCTCTTCTCACCTCATCAGAGAGCAGTAGTGACCCCACGCAGTACCCTGGGGACCCGGGCCAGAGGGGCAGGCTCTGGGTGCAGTGGGGCACCCCCAGAAACGGCCCAGCTCCTGGTGAAGCCTAGTGCTGGGCCGCGGTGCTCGGTGCACACCCCCCTGCATCAAGCCCCCTCCCTGAGCCCGGCTGCAGCAAACCAAGTGACACGGGGCGCCCGAGTCCCCGGTGTCATTTACATAGCCCTGGCCACGCGTGGCGGCACAGCCGTCCGGGTCTGCGCGGGACAGCCGTCCTCCTGCAGAGCAGCACCTCTGCCTCCCTCCCTGGTCCCTGCCATGGCCCTGGGCCTTGCTGTCCTGCTCCTGGCAGCAACCGTGGTGACGGGTAAGGTCGGTGCGGCCGCCCCTCGTTCGGGAGAGGCGCTGTGGGGCTGTGGGCAGGACGGGGCCGAATGGGGCGAGCTGGCCGAGCAGAGCCGCTTGCTCAGGGCTGCACAATGAGCAGGATGGAGGGTGGCTTCCCGGGGAGGTGGTTGGTGACTCAGGAGAAAATGGGGTGTTTTGGGGCCAGGGGAGGTGGCTCAGCCTGTCAGTAACTGTGTCCTTGGCCTGTGCAGCCTCCAGGATGCGGCCTGTGCTGACCCAGCCGGCTGCCGTGTTAGTGCGGCCAGGGCAGACAGCCCGGCTCTCCTGCACCCTGCACCCACAGTACAACATCAGCCAGATCGGCATCTCCTGGTACCAGCAGCGCCCAGGGCACTCCCTGAAGTACCTGCTCTATTACAACTCGGAGTGGGACAAACACAAGTCCCCTGAGGTTCCCAATCGCTTCTCTGCCACTAAAGACCTCGCCAGCAACACCTGTATCCTTATTATTATGGACGTCCAGGATGAAGACAACGGCAACTATTACTGCGCGCTGTCTCGCTTCATCAGGTCTTTGTAGAAACACGGAGCCAGAGCCTCCCGCCTCTCGCTTGTGGCCCCCGGGCCAAACCCTTCGCAGGCAGAGCCCTAGAAGGAGTGGAAAAAGCCTCCTGCGTGCTTGAGTGAGCCCTGCACACCGTTGTGCTCATCGGCTGCAACGTGCAGCAACACCCTCTTCACCCCAGTGCCGCGAGGGGCAGCGCTGGTGCGGGGCGAGAGACCCGCCGGTGCTCGGTGAAGGACGTGCAGGAGCAGAGACGTCCCCTGTGCTGGGGCAGCTGCAGAGCTTGACCGCAGGCTCCTGCAGCGCGCGGCACAGAGCGGCCTGCATCCTGGCCAGGGCTTCTCCTCCTTCAGTCCCGCTGATAATAAAGGCTACAGCTTATCCGTGCAGCTGGTGTCGTGTGTGCGGAGCCACGGAGCCCCGCTGGGGAATTTGGTGGGGTCTTCCAGCCCGACGTCCCCTGTGCTGGGGCAGCTGCAGAGCTTGACCGCAGGCTCCTGCAGCGCGCGGCACAGAGCGGCCTGCATCCTGGCCAGGGCTTCTCCTCCTTCAGTCCCGCTGATAATAAAGGCTACAGCTTATCCGTGCAGCTGGTGTCGTGTGTGCGGAGCCACGGAGCCCCGCTGGGGAATTTGGTGGGGTCTTCCAGCCCCTGGGGCTCCCCAGCTCCACTGCCTGTCGCAGCCCTGAGGGGCCGTGCTGGAGTGACCGCGTGGGGAAGGGCCTGCGGTGAGGCCATGTGCAAGGGAAGAGCCCTGAGGAAACGTCCCGCCAGGAGCCCCCCGCTCCTCCATGTGTCCCCATGGGAGAGCTGGGCTGGTGGAGCTGCCCACGCCGCTGGGGCTGCGGCGCCAGGCGCTGGGCTGGGGCATCACTGCATGGGGCTGTCCATGGGGCTGACGGACCCTAGGGGACCCACAACCGCAGCGATGGGTGGATGGGAGCGGAGGGGTGCAGGGTCTGGAAAGGAGCGGGTGATACCGAGGTCATCGTGACTCCCAGAGCAGGGCTCCGTGTGGGGCTGACTATGGCAGTGTAGGAGGGAGTCAAGGGCTTGCAGCACGGTCTCCTTGTGTGGGAACCCTCCCCAACGCTGAGCGGGTTTTACTGCAAAAGCTGGGTGAGAAAGGAGGGAAAAAAACTGAAAAAGCGGGAAGATAAAAAAGGAGGAAAAATGGAAAGAAAGAAAAAAAAAAAGGTGAAAGATAAAAAGGAGGAAAGAAAGAAAAAAGGAAAATGGAGTAATAACAAAAACAAAAAAAGGGGAAAGAAAAAATAAAAAAGGAAAAAAGAAGAAAGAAAAAGAAAAAAGGAAGAAAAGAAGAAAGAAAAAAAAACGAAAAAAAAGGCGCCAAGCGCGCGAGGAGCAAGGGCCGCCGCCCCGCACTGCGCATGCTCCGGGCCGCCGCGGCGGCTCTCAGGGCCTAGCGGCGG